GGTTATCCCACACTAAACAGCGCTTTTAAGGACAAAAGTAGCATGATTCTTATTAGTGAGCTTCAAAGCGCACAGATCGCGTGCCAACCAATGGAAATCCGTCCCTGCTTAATCTGAGCTGTATCATAGCGACCGTACAGCAGCTTCCAGTGAACAGAAAGGGCGAAGGCGTAACACTTCCAGAATAGAGAAATTGTGTGGACCGGAAACAGGGTGGAATGTTCAGTCCGGGTGTGCGAGAGACGATTCAAAGTCGAAATGGTGCGATTCGGGAAAAACGGCGAGTGTCTCGAAAAACGTGAGCTTTTGCACAGTTTCAAAAAAATGAGCCTGGAATCTAATGGAAAGCCCGATAGCAACTGTGATGGTAAGTGGCGGTTTTCCATTAAAAACAACAAAACCCCCCAAAAAAATGCAGGTCCCATCGTGGAAATTCCGAGCTCTGGATACTGTAAAATGAGACGTTCGTTTTCAATATAAACAGTTCGGAAGTATCGTTAGTCAATAAATTGGGGAAATCGCTGAATGAGGTCTAGCAAGTGGGGAAAAGAGTGCTATTTTTAATAATTCATTTGTTCTCCTTGCGGGCAACTTGTCGCTTGTTTCGGCTAGAGTTTCATCAATTTCCCATGTTTTTCCACTTGCTGCAGGTGAGTGTTTCAACGTCGTCAATTTCGCCTCATTCCTCCACTCAAGCACGCGAAATTGCAACAGTTTAACCCAACAAACAACTGTGGGAAACCACCTTTGAAAGCGAGATTGTTTAATTAGAGTTTTGAGGATGTTTATTGGTGAATTTCGAGATGGATGAACGTGTTTATGGGATATCAGGAAAAGTGAGCGGCGGAACAATAAACAAGCATTTCACTCATCTTTGCATGCACGCGATGTTACAATAGACGTTTTCAAAGTGAGCAGTTTAAAATAGTGGATTCAGAAATAATCCACTGACGACAGTCGAAACCCATCTGGGGCCAAAATGGCCCAAAGTGTAAATTCCACCCAAATTGATTTATCGAAAGCGGACGATTGACGCTGGAAATTGAAAAATTCCTTTTTTTAGTCTGCCTGATGAATATTAAGTGGCTTTGCTGACAGACTTATTTCCACTAGTTTATCAGGTTTACTTACACAAACTTACTATCGTGCGTAAAAAGTTAATTTTGAAACTCCGGGAAAAACTCACTCTATCAATCAATCAACGTAGGTATATTCAGGAAACTTGAGGTTTAAGCAAACTTTCATAACATCCAGAACAAGACCTCCTATAGTGTAAAACATCAGCATTCAAACTTAAAACTATTTTTTCTAGCCGCATTCCAACACGTACAAGAGAACATCGACCAGTTGGAAGAGCGCAATGAAATCAAAGAAACTGACTTGATATTTCTGCAAAGACTGATGGATAGTCCCGTCCGCAATAATCTGGCCCAGGTAAGTTTTTAAAAAAATTGTGGTTTTTCTGGCGATTACGACTCGGAAAAGCTTCGTTAAATGTTAAACAAGGCGACGGTTAAGAAAGGTCAAGCTTGTGGGCGTCAGCGTTTCGTTTATGATGAAAGCCGAGTCATCCAAAGTCAATCGACTTGCACTCGATGACCCAATTTCGTAATATTCAAGCTTTTCAGCGGGTCAGCAGGAATAAGCCTGAAAAGCGCCGAATGTGCAAGGCTCTTGAATAGCAACTTTTGAACTTTTTTGGCAAATGCGGAGCTTTTTTGGCGTTTTGGCTTCGGATTGCAAGCGCCTACAGTCGAGCCTGATCAGAACCTTCAAGTTGGGTGATTTTTAAAAATTCGTCCAGTTTAAACTGGAGCGAGTAGAGCCTTGAAATTTTGTTCAGTTGTAGCTAAGGCAAAGCGCTGCAATTGTCCATAATCTGGATTGAAACGGCATGCAGAATGAGTTTGCAGGAATTAACAAATTTACAGTCGCGCGTAACTAGAACTTTCATATTTATCAATTTTCAAAAAAATGTCCCGTCCAAACTGGAGCGAATAAACTTTTCAACTTTTGTCCAGCTTTAAGAACAGTCGACCACTGCAAACGTCCCAAATTTCGATAGAAACGTCATGCAGAATGATTCTGCAGGAATTAACAAATTTACAATCGCGAGTAACCAGAATTTTCACATTAAGCAATTTTCAAAAAATTGTCCCGTCCAAACCGGAGCTAATAAACTCTTGAAATTTTGTCCAACTTTAAGAACAATCAGCCGCTGCTAATGTCCCAAATTTCCATCGAAACGGCCTTCAGAATGATTTTGCAGGAATTAACAAATTTACAGTCGCTCGCAACCAGAATTTTCACATTAAGCAATTTTCAAAAAATTGTCCCGTCCAAACCGGAGCGAATAAACTCTTGAAATTTTGTCAACTTTAAGAACAATCAGCCGCTGCTAATGTCCCAAATTTCGATAGAAACGGCCTTCAGAATGATTTTGCAGGAATTAACAAATTTACAGTCTCTCGCAACCTGAATTTTCACATTAAGCAATTTTCAAAAAATTGTCCCGTCCAAACCGAAGCGAATAAACTCTTGAAATTTTGTCCAGCTTTAAGAACAGTCGACCACTGCAAAGGTCCCAAATTTCGATAGAAACGGCCTTCAGAATGATTTTGCAGGAATTAACAAATTTACAGTCGCTCGCAACCTGAATTTTCACATTAAGCAATTTTCAAAAAACTGTCCCGTCCAAACCGGAGCGAATAAACTCTTGAAATTTTGTCCAGCTTTAAGAACAGTCGACCACTACAAACGGCCCAAATTTCAATAAAAACGGGCTGCAGAATGATTTTGCAGGAATTAACAAACTCACAGTCGAACCTGACCAGAACCTTCAAGTTGAACAATTTTCAAAAATTGATCAAGTTTAAACTGGAGCGAGTAGATACTTGATATTTTGTCCAGTTGTGTTTACGGCAGAGCGCTGCAATTTTCCATCATCTGGATTGAAATGGCCTGCAAACGGATTTTGCAGGAATTAACAAATTGACAGTCGCTCGCAACCTGAATTTTCACATTAAGCAATTTTCAAAAAATTGTCCCGTCTAAACGGGAGCGAATAAACTCTTGAAATTTTGTCCAGCTTTAAGAACAGTCGACCACTGCAAACGGCCCAAATTTCAATA